TTTTCTCCACATCCTGGCCAACATTTGTTTGTTGATTTATTGATAATAGCCATTCTGACAGGTGTGAGGTGATATCTCATTATGGTTTTAATTTGCATTTCTCTAGTGATTAATGATGTTGAGCATCTTTTTCATGTGTCTCTTGGCCATCTGTATGTCCTCTTTGGAGAAGTATCTGTTCGGTTCCTTTGCCCATTTTTTTCATTTTTTTTTTATTTGATTGTTTGTGGTTTTGGTGTTGAGTTGTATAATTCTCTATAAATTTTAGATATTAACCTCTTACTAGATATATCTTTGGCATATATGTTCTCCCATTCAGTTGGTTGTCTTTTTATTTTGTCGATGATTTCCTTCCTGTGCAAAAACATTTTAATTTGATGTAGTCCCATTTGTTTACTTTTTCTTTTGTTTCCCTTGCTTGGGGAGGTATATTAAAAAAAATATTGTTGCCCTAACCAGTTTGGCTCAGCAGTTAGAGCGTCGGCCTGCGGTCCGGAGAGACCCGGTTCGGTTTCCACTAAGGGCACGTACCTCGGTTGCAGTTTGTCCCTGGCTCTGGTTGGGTTGTGCTGGAGGGAGCCACTCGATGTGTCCCTTTTACATCAATGTTTCTCTCTCTGTCTCTTCCTCTCTCTCCCTCCCATTCTATCTGAACAAAAAAAGAAAGAAAAAATGTCCTCGGGTGAGGATAAAAAAAAAAAAATTATATTTATTTATATATATATATGGCTATGAGAAATGTCCGGGACTTTACTGCCTATGTTTTTCTTCTAGGATTTTTGTGGTTTTGAGTCTTACATTTAAATATTTAATCCATTTTAGTTTATTCTTGTGTATGGTATAAGGAGGTGGTTTAGTTTCATTTTTCTGCATGTATCTGTCCAGCTTTTCCAATACTATTTATTGAATAGACTGTCTTACCCCATTGTATGTTTGTGTCTGGATGAAGCTAGTTGGAATCAAAAGGAAGGAAAAAAGAAAAGGTCAGATTAAAAAATGAAGTTTCGCCCTGGCCGGTTTGGCTCAGCGGTTAGAGCGTCGGCCTGCGGTACAGAGAGACCTGGGTTCGGTTCCCGCTAAGGGCACGTACCTCGGTTGCAGTTTGTCCCCGGCCCTGGTTGGTCGCGCGGGTGGCAGCCACTCGATGTGTCCCTTCACATCGATGTTTCTCTCTCTCTCTCTTCCTCTCTCTCCCTCCCGCTCTATCTGAACAAAAAATGGAAAAATGTTCTCGGGTGAGGATAAAAAAAATGAAGTTTCTGCCCTGGTCGTTTGGCTCTGTGGTTAGAGCATCAGCCCTCTGACCAAAGAATTGCAAGTTGGATTCAGGTCAACACCCCTTGGTTGGGGTTCGATCCCTGGCCCTGGTTGGGGTTGTGCAGGAGGCAACCAATCAATGTGTCTCTCTCACATTGATTGTTTCTCTCCCTCTCTCTTTCCCTCTCTCCCTCCCTCCCTGTCTGAAAATCAGTAGTAAAATATCCTGGGGTGAGTATTATAAAAAGAAATGAAGTTTCTGCATGGTTACAGTGGCAGGGTTAATAAGCCAGGGAACTTACATATGAGGCTAATCTTGGGCATCTGCAAGATAAGTAGATCTCCACACGCAGCAGCCAGTATCTTAAAAGTTTATATAGAGGCCTAACAGGATCCACTCACATCTATCCAGATGGTCTCAACAACACACTGCTTGCTCTCCAAGGCTTCCTCCTTGAACATGTCTTCCACTGTGGGAACAATGGGCAGAATGTATGGGGAGGGGGGGAGGAGCCTCTGTCCAGGGTCAACTGGCAGTCACGTCCTCTCAGTGACCTCCTCCTACGCCCATTTGACACATCCAAGCCAGGACCTGTATTAACCTATTTAACAGTCTCCTTTCCTCTGTGACATTGCCCTTGATGTGAAGATTAACTGCACATAAGTTTCTAATCAGTTAGCACCTTCAGTGCCATAGGATAGCTCGTCCAAATCACATTTATCCATTGTTGAGATATTATAACTATCATCATTTTGGTAGCTTTTAGGTATTTTTATCCATTTCTAACTATAAATTCCAAGAGTGACTGACTGGGTATATATTTTCTATGCGCTTCCGACAACAGCTGTCACTTAACTACACGGGTGATAATGTATTAAGGGTGGCCCTAAAGAGAAATCACAGGAATTGAAGGTTGACTGATTGCAGTGTGGCCACAGGCAGGCTGTTGACCTGGTCCAAGTTTCAGTCCTTTCCTCAATGAAGGGAGAGCGTTGGCCTGGAGACCTCTAAGGTACCTCTGAGTTCCTGCACTTCCAGCGAACCTGTGGGGAAGCTGAGTCAGAGCGTCAGCAGCGGAGATGCAAGTACAAGACAGGGCTAGACCCAGAGCAAAGAGCACCGTTACACCTGATCCAAACCCTCCCTGCATTTACCAGCTGTGTAATGTTGTCCTACTTCTATCTAATACAAATGATTACTTTTACCAGTTTCCCAGGACTGCTAGAACCTTACAGACCTTTAGCTTCCTAAAAGTGTGTTCCCTTCTTCATTTTGTGTTGTTGTACATGTTAAGTTCTAGGCATATATTTAAATTCCACAGACATGGTAATCATTGGGATGACATTTAATATTCATTTAGTAATTACCCATATATTTATCCTTTCTGGGATTTTTCATTCCTCCCTTCATTTCCATGTTTACTCTCTAGGATAATAATTAGAAAATATATATAACGACAGAATATATAACCTATGAGTTTGGGGTGTGAAATAGAATAGCAGATAAAATTGTATTAATCCAATAAAATGCAAGAAAGAAGGAAAAAGGAACATAAAACAGAGGAGTCAAATAGAAAATAAATAGTAAGAAAGTAGGAATAAACCAAACTATATCAGTAATTACTTCACATGTAAATGGACTAAACAATCCAAGTAAAAGACTTAGATTGTCAGATTAGATAAAAAAACAAAACCCAACTATATGTAACTTCTGAGAGACACTAGATATATGGAAACCGAATTATTAAAGTAAAAAGATGGGAAAAGATAGATACAAACTCTAGCAAAAAGAAACTGAGTATGTCTATATCAGTATCAAGTAAGACTTTAAGACAAGAAGCATTACTAGAAATCAAAAAGGACATATAATGAGTCAATCCAACAGAAAGATATCAATTCACAAATCTGTATGTACTCAAAGATATAACTTCAAAGTATATAAAGCAAAAATTAAACTCGAGACATATCCACAATCATAGTGAAAGAGTAACATACCTTCCTCCATAGTTTATACAACAAACAGATAAACATACAATAGAGAGAAAAATATGCAATAGAGAAAATTAACAAAATCAAAACTTGGTTCTTTTAAAATATTTTTAGTTGGTGAACTCCTAAGAAAACTAATCAACAAAAACAAGAGATAACATAAATTCCCAATATTAGAAATAAAAAAGGATGTCGCTACAAATCCTACAGACATCAAAAGCCTTAATAAGAGATTTCTTTAAAAACTTGACACCCAAAATTTGACAATTTGAATGAAATAGAAAAATTTCTTGAAGAATGTAACTTTGCAAAACCAGCTGAAGAAAAAGAAAAGTTGAGTATCTACTATCTAATAAATAAATTGAATCTGTTATGTAAGAACATCCCACAAAGAAAACTCTAAGCCAACAACATGGCTCCACCAGTTAATTCTTGCAAATATTTATTATTTTATTTTTTATCCTCACCCGAGGACACTTTTTCATTTTTTCATTTAGAGCGGAAGGGAGAGAGAGAAACATCAACGTGAAAGGGACACATCGAGTGGCCTCTACCCGTACAGGACCGGGGACAAACTGCAACCGAGGTACGTGCCCGTAATGGGAACTGAACTTGGGTATCTCCAGACGGTAGGCCAAGGCTCCAACAGCTGAACCAAACCGGCCAGGGCAATTCTTGCAAATATTTAAATAGCACCAATCTTGCACCAACTCAGAGAGCAGAAAAACAGTATACTTCCTAACTCTTATTATGTGGCCAATATAACCTTGATGGAAAATTAGACTAGGCTATTTACTACAAAAAAGAAAATTTACTGGCTAGTCCCTAACGTTATGGTAGAATAGAAAGTAAATATTTGACCTTTGTCCAGGCTCCTGGCTCATAGCTCTGAACCCTTGGAATCTGAAGAGAGATAAGAGTGTCTTTTGTGTGCTGATGAGATGTCTGGTTGCGGGAGGCCCTTAGGGCTGGTCACCAGAAAGACCAGGAAATCAGAAGAGAATTGGCGGTTTCTGTCCCTACCCCCACCTCTAGAGAGGGGAAAGGGGCTGGGGATTGAGTTAATCACCAACAGCCAATGATTTAATCAGTCCGTCTACTAATGAAACTTCCATAAAAACCCCCACTGATAGGAGTCGGAGAGCTTCCCAGTTGAATACATGGAGGGTTCTGGGAGGGTGACTTGCCCACAGGGAGCACTGAAGCTCCCCCCGTATCCTGCCCTACGCAACCCCTCCATTTGGTTGTGACTGAATTTTTTCTTTTATAATAAACTGGTAACAGGTAAATAAAGTGCATTTCTGAGTTCTATGAGTTCTAACAAATTATTGAAACTCAGGGGGTCAGGGTATGTGGAAGCCCCCTGTTTATAGCCAGTCGATCAGAAGTATGGGTGATTCTGGACTTGGGATTGGCGCCTAAGGTGGGGGTGGTCTTGTGGGACTGAGCCCCTCAGCCTTTGGAATCTAATGCTAACTCCAGGTAGGTAGGGTCAAAACTGAACTGAACTGGTGTCAGAGAATTGGAGAACGGGCTGGTGTCAGGAGGGAAAACAAAACAGAAAACTCACTGATGAATATAGGTACAAAATCCTAAATACAGTATTAGCAAATAAATCCAGCATCCAACTAGGGTTTATTCCAGGAATGCAAGGGCGAGTCCATATTTAAAAATCAATCAAGGTAAGTCATTAGCAGAAAAAATTTAATCATGAACCATCTTGATAGATGCATAAAAATGATGACCTCAGGGAAAGCGGTTTCAGGAAATAACATGGGATTCATCTTGCCTTCCTCCCTCTGAGTTCTGTCCCTCCAATTTGAACTGATTTGTGGGAGAAAACTAGAGTCTATGCCAGTTTTGTTATGTCGCTCGGGCCCCTGATAACAGGCCCCTCTGGCTTTGCGGTTTGATCCCCATCTCTGGTTCCATGTGTGTTTTCCTGATGCTTCGATCTGCAAGGCAAATAGAAGGAGACTGACAAGCAGGTGCTATTAAACAGTTATTACACCAGGGGCTCTGGCAGGTATAGAGGAACAGATATGAACCAAGATTCCTGGAAGATTAAGTAACTCATCAAAGGTCCCACTGTTGATAAATGACAGGCTGAGATGTGAACCCGGTCAGTCCGGTTCCAGAATTAATACTCTCAAGCATTCAGTCACTAACTCTGCGTGTACTTAACTAACCACAACACTAAGCATTGAGCACCATATAGATACAAGGTACATGTGCTGGGAAAGCAGAAAGGAGAGAGGAATTCTGATGGGGGCGGGGTGGTTGATTCCGGAAGGCTCTTCAAGAAAGGTGGCATTTAAAGCGGGACTTAAAAGATGAAGATTTGAACTGGCAGCAAAGGAGAGGATGAGTCAGGACAGACTGGATTATACTGCAGTCTCCAAGGTTTGATACAACAGATTTATTTCTCATCCAAATGCTGATTCAAGTTGGCAACGTCTGGGCACTTTCTCAGCGCCATGACTCAGCCAGCGAGGCTGCTGCCATCTGTGGTTCCTCATTCCATCACGCTGTCCCGACCAGTGAGCAGGGAAAGAGACAAAAATGTAGAGAATTCGCAGCTGCCTTTCAATGCTTTCAGCCTGGAAGCCACACACGTCACTACTCACGGCCAGTTAGTTCTAAGAAAGCACATGGAGCATTTGGTGAGAACTGACTGCCTCGGGTACAGAGAAAAGGACATCCCGGATGAGGAGCTCACATATGCAAAGGCATGAAAGGATAAAAATGCAGGGCAGGCATCGGGAAGAACAGACCTAGGACCCAGGAAGCCTAGAACATCATGTCATAAGTCTGTCAGTTTGCTTGAGCTACCGTAACAAAGTCCCACAGACTGGGAAACCTAACATCAGAAATGTATTTTCTTACAGCCCTGGGGGCTGGAGGGTCCGAGCTCAAGGCACCAGCAGGGTTGGTTTCTTCTGGTGTCTCTCCTTGGCTGGCAGGTGGTCATCCCTCTGTGCACCTGCCCCTGGTGTCTCTGTGTGTCTTAATCTCCTCTTCTTACAAGGACATTGGTCAAATTGCAGTAGGGCCAACCCAACAGCCTCATTTTAGCTTAATCGCCTTCTTAAAGGTTCTATATGTGTTAGAGACTAAATGTGTATACCTCCCCCCAAATTCATATACTGAAGCCCTAACCCCTATTATGACTACATTTGGAGATGGGGCCCCTAGGAATTAATTAGTTAAATGAGGTTCTTAGGACGAGGCCTTGATCTGAGAGGATTAGTGCCTATGAGTAGAGACACTAGGAAGGTGCTATCTCCCTCTCTCTCTGGGAACTCGCAGAGGTCATGTGAGGACACAGCGAGACGGCAGCTACCTACAAGCCAAAGAGACGCATCAGAATGAACCCTACCGTCCTGGCACCTGGGCCTCAGACTTCCCAGCTTCCGGAACTGGGAGAGGACACATTTCTGTAGTTTAAGCTACTAGTCCAGGGCATTCTAGTATAGCAACCCCACGGGATTAAGACAGTCTTTGAATACAGTCACATTGTGTGGTCCTGGAGGGCTTCAACACAGGAATTGGGTTACTGAAAACACTGTTACTTCACTGGGTGAAATGACCATCTTTTTAAGGAGTCAGGGAGCTGAGCAGTGGATGGAGGTGTTTTACCTGTTCTGCTAGTTTGAAATTTAAACTTTCTGATAAAATATCAGCAGCTTCATTCCTTTCCCTTTGTGTTAGAAAACATTCATCAATGAGGAATTTTGGACTAACCTTCAAAGGGACCAATAAGAACTATTTTAATTTTTTTCTTCATTGATTTTAGAGAGACAGGAAGGGAGAGAGAGAAAAAAAACCATCAACGAGAGAGAACATCGATTGGCCGCCTCCTGCATGCCCCCCACTAGGGATCGGGCCCACAACCTGGGCACATGCCCTGACCGGGAATCGAACCAGCAGCCTCTTGGTGCTGGGTCGATGCTCAATCATCAGGCCCACAACCTGGGCATGTGCCGCGACCAGGAACCGAACCGGTGACCTCTTGGTGCATGGGTCAACGCTCAACCATTGAGCTATACCGGCCGGGCAAAAGGGCCTTTCTTGCTCCTGTTGTTCCTATGCTCAGTGCAATACCAGGGAGACAAGGCCCATCAGCCACACTGCCACTGCCTCTGATTTCTGTTGCGAGGCCTGGTGACTGGCACCCCACCAGGAACAGGTCCTGGGCTTAAGATGTGGTTGAAAGACATGGAGCATCTACAGTCCAGGAGCTTTGCCCGGGGGAGTTAGCTGAGGACACACAGTGGACCCAAGGGCACGAATAGGCAGCCTGCAGTGGCCTCCAGCATCCACCAGGCTCTGTCCCGGTTCCTGCCTCTCACCTCCTCTGTCCTGGCAGCCCTGACCTTCGTGGGGAGAAAAAGACCCTCCAGTTTCTAAACTGCTTTCCTCTAGGGAAAGAGTGTGGCTTGGGCAGAGACTATAAGGAGTAGGGATCTTAATGAGGTTTGGGTGGATTTAGAATTGCTTGTATCATTTATACATTCCACCATTTAACAAACATTTATTGAGCACCTACTCTGTCGGACATCGATAGGCACTGGGACAACAAAGATATTTGAGACATTGTCTTCAAGTGGCTTCCAGTCTAGTAGTGGGAGACAGTCACATACACCAAACCCAATGGCACATCACAGGTGCCATGACAGATACCAGGAGGGGACAGGAAGTGTCTAGGTGCAGGCATTCACTCTCTCCTGGGTGGGATATCACGAAAGGATTCTGGAAGATTCAGTGATGGTTTAGCTGCTCCTTGAAGGATGTGAAGAGGTTCTTGAGGTAGATGGGGTGCCAGAGAGGGCCTGGACACGAGAGGAGGCAGCCGATCGATGTCTCTCTCATCACTGTCTCTGCTTCTATCTGTCCCTCTCCTTTCCTCTCTGTCCAAAATAGATCAAAACATCTTTTACAAAAAGAAGACACCCCAACCAGTTTTTTGAACTTTAACTACATCACTCACCTGTTCCAAATCCCTGAATGGCTTCCTTTGGGGGAAATTGGGCCACCTTTGAAAGGCATAGGGGATCTTCATGACCCACGGCGAACAACATGCTTCAAACACACCAGACTGGCGCACGCTTCTGCCCCTGCGCCTGGGTCTTCCTTCTGCGCTGTCTCCACAGAAGCACCAGCACCCTTCAGTCCCAGCTTCAAGGTTCTCTCCCCTGCTCCTCACGTGGAAGCACAGGACTCCTTCCCACTGCCCACTGTGCTTTGTCCTCCCACTGTAGTGACACCGGTGTCACCACCTTCCAGTGTCGGGCCTTCTCAGTTCCCTTACCTGTAAAATGGGGTAATAATCAAGTGTTGGTGGGAGGAGTGATCCTGGGATGTGGCAGCAGAGGTTTGGGGAAGTGAGCCAGGGAGGAAAGGAGGGCAACCAGGGTGCATTCTGTGGACCACAGGAGTCCGAGGCGACGGGAGCCTCGGGGAAAAGTGTAGAACACCCTCGGAACAGCCCGCCCGAGAGGGGAGCGAGCTTCAGCCTCCGGCACGCTGCCCAGGCAGTGCTGACGCTCCGGGTCTACGGGCAGCACGGAAACCTAAGCTGATCCCACCAGTCATTTAAGACACGGGATGCCCTCCACTCCAGCCCGCACGCTCCGAGCCTCCGGCAGCTCCGCGGACACTCCCCCAGCTGGGTCCCCGCCCACCTCCCAGGGCCCGGGTGACCGACCCCGCTTACCTCCGGGAAAGGCCATCCTCGGCCTGTTCTGCTGGCCTTGGTGTCGGACAGTCATCCTGGACCCCGGATGAATTCGGAACCAGAACCCAAAAGGGGAGAGAAAAGCAGAAGCCTGCAAGTGAAGGAGCCAGTGTGCCTCGTACACACTCGTAAGTCCAAGGGAGGTGGGGGGACCCGCAGGGCGCCGGTGCCGGGCGCCCCTTTACTCGCGCTGCACTTACGCCCTTGGGGAAGCCGCTGGGATCGCGCCAGCCAATCCGTGAGCCGCGCCGCCGGCTTATTAGCATGCGCTGCGCCTGTGCCCACCTGCCGCCAGGGGGCGGTGTGTGGCTCCGCCGGAGCCCAGCAGAGCCTCAGGTGAGACCAGCGAGTCCGGGATCCGCGAGTGGGAGGATGTCTTGCAGAGTGAGTCCTGGCCCACACCACTAAAGCCTGGAGAAATGAAAACAGTCCACCACGGGCTTTGGATCCCTGGCTGCCCTGCCATCTGGATGGCTGTTAACAAGTTACTTAAACTTGCCAAGCAGGTCAGTTTCCTGGTCTGACCAGAGAAAAGCAAATGAGCGGGTGGGAAATGACACCTTGTCTGTCAGGTGCTGTGAGGACCGAATGAATAACCCAGTCAATTGGCAGTGGAGTGTAGCTGGCGGTGAAGAAAGCCGCTCACCTGCCAGATGGGCTGTCTCTGAATGTCCGAGTTGCCACGTAGCTGCTGGATCTCAAGGGAGTTATGGGAACTGTGGCCTTCATTTTCCCATTTGATCCCTGAGGATACTGCACCCTCTTCATGTGTGTTTTGTTTGGGGGGCGGTGGTATTGGTGTTGAGATTACTGAGCTAATGCTTGGGGAAAAAAAAACACACAACACTTGTAAGCGTGACTGACACGTACTGAATGTTGGGTAAACCATACTTTCTCTTATGTCTTTTGAGACTCAAAGATCACCATGCCTAGTGGCTCTGTCATATAGGTAATCTGAGATACATGTCATGTCAGAATGATAAGAACTGTTGGAGTAGCAAATGGAGTGAGTGTATAGGCTCTGTGCAGGAGCAGGTTACTGGGGTCAGGTCTCAACTCTGCTACTTAGTAACCAGTGTGTTTGGGGGCAAGCAATTTAACCCCTCCCTCTGTGCTTCCGTTTCTGTAAAATGAGGATGACGCAATGACTGCTACCTCATAAGGTTGTTAAGGGGAGATGGAGTAAACAGATCAATAGATATTGTTGTTGATATTATTACTATCGGGATTATTAAAGATAGTGTAATAGAGTGCACAACTTGGAATGGAAATAATCACAATTTAACTGTTACCTCCTACTCCTTATTCTCAATTTCATCATCTGTTAAAGGAGAGACTAGGATTAACCAATCTCTGACAGGGTGAGACCTCTGGTCTAACACTCAGGATTCTCGGGATCCAGGGACATGCCTGCTTTTCATTTCTAGAGCTGGGCAGCTGGAAGGTGGCAGATAAAGCAGATTCAGAAAAGGGTAGGTGGGCATTTGCCACAAGAGGGGCACTAAGCCAACAACTCTTTAGATAATCTGGTTCCCACCCCGGCGGAAGAGCCGAGTTCCTGCCAAGCTACCCAGACATCTTAGCTCAGAGTTAAAGCACTGGAATAACAGTTTCAGAAACCAAACTCTGAAGTCAGGTTGACTCATAGGGAAATGACTTGGCAGAAAGCCACCACATGTAGCTTGCCGATCTAGCTGGGCCACTGCAATGGTGCATGATTGGGGGCGGAACATCGTTTCATCCAGGTTTTCAATTGTAATTTCAAAATCGTTTTCTTTTTTTAATTTAATTTATTTTTGTTACAGATGTTTCTCCTTTTCCCCCTATTGACGTGCTCCCTCCGTCCCCGCCCCCTGCCCCAGCATTGTTGTCTATGTCCATTGGTTATGCTTATATGCCTAAGTTTTTTGGTTTATCTCTTCCTTCCTCCCCGCCCCTCTCATCTGAAGTTTGTCAGTCTGAACCCCGCTTCTTTCTATGTCTCTGGGTCTACAGAATTGTTTTAAATGTGTATCTGTGATTGTTTCCCCATTCTTATTTTGTTGATTTGGGCTTTCTCCCTTTTTTTTTTCTAGATCAGGTTAGACTGTGAATGAAATTGTGTGTGTGCGCGCGCATGTATGTGTGTGTGCATGTATGTGTGTGTGTGTTGCATGTGTGTGTGTTTACTTGACAATCAGATTTTATTGAATAGTTAGCACTTTAAGATCGTCTAGTCATTGAATATTTATGCTGTTTCAATTAGTTAACAGAGGGCTCTGTACAACAGAAAAAAACTGTAGGTATATAGAGTGACCACCTGTGGCACCTTGTGTCTCTTGTCCTAAGTAGTTTGTGGTGTCCTCTTGCACTCTCAAAAGTCACTACAGATGATAAATCATGATCACCCTGATCACATATCCTAACAATGATCTAATCAATCCTCCTCATTTCCTGGATGAGGAGACATCATGGGGTGGTGGGAAGAAAATATGATTAGGATTCAGGACAGCCAGATTCTGATTCCAGATTTATTACTGACCGCTGGGGTTCTGCTGCAGTAGGCCCAGGTGGGGCTGAGGTTCCGCATTTCCAACGGGCTCCCAGGTGATGTCCATGCTGACCTCAGTCTGAGTAGCAAAGATCTAAAAAGACTTGTGCCACAGACTGTAAATCAATATGACATTTAACCGAAAAAAAGTGGGGAGAGGGTTATAGTGCAATACACTCAGAAATCCATACGCCTAATACATTGAAAGGGATGGTTTGCTGCAGGGCTTCCCAAAACCGCTAACACACTTCCAAAGACAATTACTTAAGCAACTCAGAAGGAAAGATTTTCGGAAAGATAAAGGTCTTTATTTTGTTTTGTTTTTTTTTTGTTTGTTTTATTTATTTTTATCTTTATTGTTGAAAATATTACAGATGTCCCCCGTCTTTTTCCCCTTTGACCCCCTCCTCCCTGCTCCCACCCCCCTCCTGCCTTCCTCACACTATTGGCTGTGTCCATTGGTTATGCATATATGCATAGAAGTTCTTTGGCTTGTCTCTTCCCACCCTCTACCATCCCCCTTCCCCCTGAGGTTTGTCAGTCTGTTCCCTATTTCCATGGGTCTTTATTTTGTAAACTGATAGAATAGAGGCAAGAAGGCAGCTGGTTTGTTTTGTGCATGCTCAATCCCTCACCCAGGTGAAGAGATAAAGTCTTTGATGACTTGCCATATCGAAATCTCTTTGCAAGGAAAACAGTTTCACCCACAGCTCCTTCCACATCCCCACCCCACCCTCTTGGCTCATATTTTGGACCATATGACTTGACACCTGGTTAACTGGCCCAGGGACACTGGAGTACCTGACCCAGGTCACCGCTTCATAGACTGGCCAACTGTAACATGGCCAGATATAAAATGATGACCTGGACCAACTAGATTGTCACTCTTGGAAATAGCCACTTCCGCTGGCCAGTAGAGGTGGCCAAATCTGAAAAAGGAGCCCCAAGGTGGAATCAGACCCACAAGGAAACAAGGCCGTAGGTGAGCTTAAGCTGAGCACGACAGACTGAGTGGGCAATAGAAGCCTGGGGTAGAAAACAGAGTGGAAGAGAAGCACAGAGCCAGGCGGAAATACCCAAGAACTCTTACAAGTGGAACTGAAGGTCACGAACGGGGGCTATTTGTAGGTCACAAAGAGCAAATTGTATCCCAGGAGGTAATGGGCTACAGATTAGGGAATGATGGACACAAGGCATAGTGGTGTACCAGCAAGACATTCGTGGACCAGAGGGAAAAGTGAACTTTGCCCCTCCCATCCAGGAAGCCCAAAACAAACCAGCAGCCAATTTGTAGCAACAGTAGAACTGTATTGTCATCATGTCTTCCTTCTGTCCAACCTGACCCCATGGTCTTGATGCCATATTTAATTCGTCTTCCTTGTCTTGATTTTTTTTTTTAATTTCCCTTTATTGATTTTAGAGAGAAAGAAAGGGAGAGGGAGAGAGAGAGAGAAACATCGATAAAAGAGAACATTGATTGGTCGCTTCCTACATCCCTCCTACTGGGTATCAGGCCCCACAACCTGGGCACGTGCCCTGACCGGGAATTGAACCAGCGACCTCTTGGTGCATGGGTCGATGCTCCACCACTGAGCCACACTGACTGGGCCCTTGTCTTGGTTTTTAGTTTACCCTTGACTATTTTATATTACATATCTCCTGTATGCCTCATTGACTCCACTGTAAAAAGAGACATGGTATAAGTAAATAAATAGATCAGATGAGAACTAATTTAAGTGGAATCGCGTCTGAATGACCACATTCCTTAAAAAATCCTCTTTAACCACCAGTGCGGGCACAGAGATAGATCTCTAGTTGCATATCACAGGATTCACCCCAAATTGCATCTTGTTAAAAATCATAATGATTTGGATGGCAACATTAATGACACGGTGTTTACATTTTCGGACAAAGACAATACGTTAGGAACAGCACTGGGAGCCAAACGTTCTTGTTGGTGAGAGTCAGTGTGCTTAGATCAAGAACTCACCAAATGCCCCCACAGAATCAGCCTCTCTGGGCAAAACTGCAGTGTTAGGATTTCTAACTATTATCACAAGTCATTATAGGAATGAGTCATGTGAATTTCTTTGTGAAAAAATTCTGATTTGAGACAAAACTGTTGTCAAGATAGGGCCCAGTCTCTCTCTGCCAGCTACCATAGGAGAAATTTCTTTCAGAGTTTAGTACCAAGGAAAACTTTGTTTTCCCTCAAACAGTCCGCCATGTGTCCCTTCCTCTGATCCAGGGAGATGTGCATGTCTTGTGTCCTTTTTCATCTCGGCTCGCGGAACCCTTCCAATGTACGCCATTGGCCCCCTTGGACGACTGAAATGAGCATTTGATTTCTAATTTTCTTCTCCAATCTGTTTTCCTATTTGAGTTCATGTACCACTGGTTTTATTGTCTGAGTTTGTTTTGTCTTTTGGTAAGCCACAACAACTCATTTTTGGAATGACTTGGGATATACATATGTTAAATAAATTATTTTTGAATGATAAATGGGAGACAGCTTGATGCATTGGGTAAGATGAGAAAGAAAAGGAGAAAGTGAGCCATCTCAACAGTCTTCAAGATCAACAGTTATATTTAACCAAATGATTTTTGGAAACTGCATTGTCTTGTTTTCATCCAAGATGCTTGCTAGAGAAAGAACAGTAAGTATGGTGGAAATAAA